TCTATCTATCTATCTATCTATCTATCTATCTATCTATCTATCTATCTATCTATCTATCTATCTATCTATCTATCTATCTATCTATCTATCTATCTATCTATCCTAAATATCCTAAATATATAGTCTGTCTATCTATCTATACATGATGGACTGTGCATGCACTGCTGTGTCATTCGTCAACATGTCAAGGCAGGTCATACTGCGGGGTGGGGGGGGGGGGGGGGGGGGGAGAACTTGCCTCGTTGCCTTCAAGTCTACCAGACCGCAGGCTCTACAGCCATGTTGACATTTTGTCTGCATTGCAGAACACTCAGGTTCATATGTCTGCCAAGTAACAGATGATACAGTAGCACACATTAGGTGCACCTTGTGCGAGATTTCCACAAGGATGTACAAAGCTGCACACTCGTGGAGCGCAACTGTACGTGCACACGCATAGATTTTGATTTACAAAATGGGACCATATTAGCCTACTTTCTGTTCAGTGCACAGATCTCTAGTGTCTGTATCGCAACAAACAGCGGATGACAGCAACGCTCTCCTGCATTTTAAAAATAAAGCAACGCAACAAAAAATAAGCATACAAAATGCATTGAAATATAGCTCGTACTAACAATTCTTGAACGCGTTTAAATATGAGGCAGAATTCTCCAGTATCCAGTTATGGCAGCGTGCAGACTGTATTATTGATAGGTGGACAAGTGGGAAATGGATAGGAGCAAGTGATCCTGCAAACGTTTGCACCATAACCATGTTGCACCACAATCATCAACTTAATAAATAAATGCAATAAACAGCGATTCCTTACCTGCAGAATCACAGATGATCAAAGATGATCGAAGTGATGCTTAGCTTCCCCTTTAAAAATAAAGATTGTCAAAGGCCGACGTAGCCTAACTGGGAAAAACGCAACAATTTGTCTACGCAAGAAACGCTGCAAAATAGCGGACGCTTATTAGCCTCGTTAGACTGTCAGTACAAGATGCGTTCGAATTAGTAAAGCATGCTTCCATAAATGTGTGCCAACTGTATTTCAGCGGGATGCCCATTACGGTAACAAATGTTTTCTTCTCCCTCTTCAGCATCCACAGCGTAACCGAGCCAAGCCCACCCTGCCCAGCCCCACTGTCCTTGAATCCGCCGCAGCAGCAGCAGACTTCGGGCAATTTCTTTGCTGACTGGCGGTGAGGAAGGCAAATGGTGTGGAGCTGTGCACTGTGAGGAAGCCAATGAGAGAAGCTCCCCTTTTCTGTTGCTAAGGCTGAGAGACTAACAGAAAGCATGCGTAGTTGTAGTTGCATTCAGAATTCGCAATGATCTTCTAACTCCCACTGTCAAAAGCTTAATACATTATCTTAGCGTGGGGTTTCATCTCAAAATCTATATATGATTTTAAACAACAGTGCGTTGTCACAATGTGTGAGGAGTTGTTGCAGGTGCATCACTGAGGGGAGACATGACCTCTAATTTGAGACATTTGTCATCAACTGTCTCATGTATTGCCTTTGAGCTCACATGAACAGACAAATACTGCAGCTGTCAGTCACTGAATAACCAACTGTGGTGGTCATTAATCCACCACCCTACTTATTATCCCCATGCTACATAAATACTGTTTATCCACCACCTTGGCTTCCAGTGCAGTTCTGAGGACTCTTGAATATTGTTTTTTTTTAGCAAGCTTTGCCCTTTCCAGAAGTTCCAACTACATATTTCTAGGGCTGACTTCCTCAACTACACAGTGCTGCCAAAATTTTAAATTTCTAGTATCATGCTGATACAGAAAATCAGACCCATGCACTGGTGTATTTGGGATTGGATTGTCGATACTGTTTATTACAAGGTTATGCCAAGACCCCCTGAGGATGTCTCCAGTCATCTTTACCCACAAGGGTCCAGAGTGATGCAGGTGAATCAAACAGTTTAAACAAAAGTCAATTTATTGCAAACGGCCAAAGTAATCTGTGAAACATTATAGATCTGTGACATTTGGTGGTGGTACTTATGTTAGTTTTTTTTCTTTCTTATGTGACCTGAGGGTCAGTATTTGACCCAAAAATTCCTTTTAAAAACAATAGGTCTGGGTTTTTATGGCTGGAATTATGAACGGAGGCTTTGACAACAACTTAATGTGAAGTTATTCTCCTAGCAACTTTAACTATTTATCTTCTCTGCAGATGTTTTCAATACTGTGTAAAACAGAAAAAATAGAATTGCAAATTTCATAAACCAATATTCAACTCAAATTAATAAAATAGAAAAATGTTAAAAATGGAGAGTTACTATTTCCTGAAAAGGACTAGCTTGTTTTGTAACAACACATGCAACACATGGGGGGCATGTGCCACTGTGAGCTCTTAGCTATTTAGGGAGAGGAATGTTAAGGCATTCTCCCTGTAAATGTAGCAATAGAAATATAGCATTAAAAAGTATGTGTCAGTATAAAAAAATCTTTATGAGAGCATATTTTTCTCAAAACAATTTATACAACGTTGAGCACTGATATTTCTTTTCTATATTTGCAAGTTACCTGTTCCAAATACACTTGCGAAAAGATGCCATAGCATCTCAATTTTAAATGTTAACAAGCTGGAAATTTCCTCCACTCATTAGTCTGGAGGATTTGGTGTCCATGATTTCCAAATGGTGTTTAAAATTTTGATTAATTTCACCACAGAACAATTATACACTTTGCCATGGTCCATATTAAATGGGTGTTGCAGAAGAGAAAGAAGAGTTCAAAGAAGAGAGCAGGGTTTGCGGTTAATGTTCACATATGACTTGCCTGCATTTGTGGCCAAGAAAAAAAACTACTTTCACAGAAAATTATTTCTGAGCTCGTGCAGGGTTGAATACAGTGCTGAATGAGGGTCTGACAATCAAAGGACGAAGGACCAGATTGTTGCCTGGGTCTGTTTTTATAAAAAGATGCTTTCAGGTTGTATGAATGTTTGATCTTTTATAAATACCATGATGTATGTGAATGTACTGTAACTTAATGGGCCAAATATTTTGATTTTCTGCCCACATTTTTTCTAATTGGCTTTTTTGACACCCAATTATGTTAGTGTTTGATTGCCTAATTCGTTACAACATGTCTTTACAGCTTTTAGCAAGCCTTGTTTTTCCCCTCTCCTGATCTTTTTTTAGGTCTGCTTAAGCTAGGAAATGCAAGATATGTTTTTTAGTGTTCACAACATGGAAGAATATTTTTGTTCCATCCTACAATATACTTTCTATATTCAAGTTTTATTCAAAATTAATTTAGTAACATTTATTTTTAGATCAAGGTTAGATAGTGTAGGCATGGGTCATTGCATGCCTCTCTTAGTTGTAAGCGCTGTTAATTTTGGACTTTTTATGTACGTTTTGCACATAATGTTTATCTCACATACATTGTGCTATGTGTCGGGCTTTTCCTTTCTATCATGGGTAACCATATGCTTCTAAGGTTTTGTTCTTTTGCCGCTCTCCTGTCCACTTGCCCCCAACCAGTCAGAACAGATGGTATCCTTTCCTATCTACTCATCCTGTTAGAGGCAGATCTGAGCGGTGCGCTCAATGTAAAATGAGAGTGCCCGCCAGACAGTGCAGGTGGGGACATGGTTCCGCTTCCATTTGATGAGGAGGAAGGCGAAATCCCTCTGGAGAGATCTCTCTGGATCTCAAAGAACTGGTGAAGTTTTTAGGCATGAAGGCAGAGTTAGGGCCTATCGCAGCCGCGCTGCTGTCCCCTTTGATCCTGAGACATGAAGGTGCCACAGAAAGTGCATAGAGATCACTGACTCTCTTAGCAGATGTCCAAGTTAGTAGCAGAGCGGTCTAAAGAGATGAAAATCTCAGTGAGACTTGGTGTAAAGAGTCAAAGGGGGCTTCTGTCAACATGTGTAGTACCACCACTAAATCCCGCTGCAGTGTCAGAGCACTTGACATGGGTCTCTGCCTCTGCATGCCTGTCACAGAGCACTTGGTCAGTGGGTGACTGAACACTAATCTGTCACCAAAACCCACATGGCAGGATGAAATCGCAGCAGTGTAGGTTTTAATAGTGCTGAACGCCAATTCCCTCTCTAGCGGCATCTAGAATAATGAGAGGGCAAGAGGTAGGGTATAGACCTTTCTCCCCACACCAGCGCTGAAAGGCTGGACACTTCAACGAATAATCCGACCTTGTGGAGACTGCTCTGGAATTCTGGATCATGCGGGACCATGTCCTGAGAGAAACCCAGGTCTTCTAGACCCGAGGTGCTGGCCTACCACCAGGGGGGTTGCTGATTGTTCCCCCCGCTTGCAGGAGCAAGTCCAAGCTCCACGGAAGCACACCAGGGACTAAAGGATAACCAGGGAGATCCAAAGCTCGCACTGAGTGTTTTCCCGAGTGGCGAACAGGTCGATCTCGGCTCTGCCCAATCTGTCATGGTGCAGTTTCCATGTTTGTATCGCTGCCTCGCAGTGGCTCCAGAGATGTCTCTACACATTTGGAAAAGGTGCTCCTGGACCCTTCCATCCGGAAGGAGTCGTCCGACTCCCGCCCTGCATCGAGGAGGTTGACGGCTGTTGACGGCCGTCTCGGGCGAATACTTATCTGCCACGAAGACCTCCTCCTACCCCGTGAAGAACTCCTGAAGTCTTGGAGTCAAATAAAATTTCTGAATCGGATTCCCGTGAAAGAGTTGAGCAGATTAGAGGGCTGCATACTCTGCTGTCACAAATATTGATGTCTGCGAAGTTACCCTAGCTGGGAGAACAAGGCTATATACATATAAATACATACCCTCTCGCTTCCATATATATATACATATACATATATATATATATATATAAATATACATATATATATATGTACATACATACTTTTATTGTCCTTTTATTGAGTAGCTACTCAAGTGCAGTCTGTCTTTCATTTAGTGTGTTTCTGTTGTCATAGATAATATATATTTTTTAGAGTATAATCAGTGAAAACAAACCCTTCCTAATGGTTGAGTGGGATGTTAAAGGGTTGAAGCGTCCTAATATTACTTTGTCATACAAATCAACTCAGTGTTTTGGCATTCAATCTTTTTTCGGACACAGGAAAGTTAATGTTTGAACTGCTGCCTGTTTGGCTGCATGATCGAAAATAACACCACCACAGCAAAGTCTGTCTAATAGGCTACATCTGAAGGTGTCTTGATGGGTCTTCATCAGCAGTCTCCTTTTCATGTTTTATCTTAAAACAGCCGAAGCATGTCAGTTCATATTAGACAGAAGATCAATGTTGGAAGAATTTAGGAAACATAAATAAACATTAAATTTAATCAACATAGTAGAGGGAGATTCAGAGAGTAAAAACATTAGAATTTTCATTCCTCCTCTTTCGGAGAAAAAAGTTTAGTACCACAAGTTGGTCATTGGTAATACATTTGTTGGATAAAATGGACACTTTGAGCCACAATGCCCTGCGAAGGACTGGTGACCTGTCCAGGGTGTGCCCCGCACATTGCCCCCCGTGACAACGTTAGGAACAGGCGGTAAAGAAAATGGATGGATGGGGCCACACTCTACACCACTAGGTGGCGATAATGCAAATCAAATGTTATATGCCAACCGCCAGTGAAATCAACAAGAAGAAGAACTCTAAGCCAATGAGTTTGCTTTACACATGGAGTCTTGCTGAAAGCACAAGCGCTGTGACATTGCATGGTGTATTTTGGTGTCAACTTAAATCTTGTAGCATATCTCAAAATGAACGTGATATTGTCATATTTTACTCGACTACGGAGTATTCCTCAATTAAGCGGGTAAGGTACTTGACGCTACTGTAACGGTTACATCAAAGGCCGATGTTATTGCTCTACTGTGTCAAAAGTAAAAAGCTAGCTTGGCAAAATGCTAACGGAAATCAAACTACAAGGAGTAGTATCTTTCATTTCATTTAATTTATTTTGAAACATGATATGATTTAACAATGTTTACATTTAATGCTTAATAACATGCATCATGTTTCAAAAAGGAGTAGGATGAAGCATAAGCTTATTAAACCCTACCCCTCAGTTACATGTGTCATGGTGGTAAAGGACAATTATTTACAGTAAGACAAACAGTGTACCAACTTTTTATATATTACTCTTTTTTGTATTCATCAAAAATACTTTTCTTATATTCATTTTTTAATTGTTGGATGCTTTTACATTGTTTAATATTTTCAGGCAAGCTGAGTTTTACTCCGCTAATTGATAAACTAAAGCTTCTTCTTGTTTCTGTTTGATTTAATCGAGAAATGATGACTTAGTGACAGTAACTCTTGCCAGACAGTTTAACATGTAGTCAGTCAACAAGATGGGTTAATCGACCAATTATTCTGAAACTATCCGAGGCCACAATCCTACCAAGACTCAAAACAGCTCACATTACATTTGTATACATGTTAAAGATGTCACATACGCAAAGTTTACACCTTTATCATTCCATATTTATCATAAATGTCGATAAACAAAAATATATTTATTTAATTGAGAGCTTGACTGGAAGTGGGTACATAAGAAAATACCTTCAATATGCTTCACATACATTTGGTTCTTCATCAACTACTACGTAAATTATATGACATTTGTGTTGTGACTAAAAGTTGGGAGTAAGCAGAGCTTTAACATATCAACCATTACTCTTACAGCAGGATACCTACAATGAGTGGAACTTGTTCACTTAGAACACTCAGCAACTGGAATGTTTTCAGCAAAGCAAGACCTCTGATTTCAAGAAATCCCAGTCCACTTTCGTCGCAAGCGGAAGGTTCAGAGATATTCCAGCAGTATCCATGGCAGTACCAGCAGGTACGGACCCGGAAGAGGGGCACCGAGTATCAGCCCAAGAACATCAAACGCAAAAGAACCCACGGTTGGATCAAGAGGCTGAGCTCACAAGGTGGCATTGAAGTGCTTCTACGGCGCATATTGAAGGGTCGCAAATCACTCTCACATTGATATCTGCTGTGGGATAATCCGGAAGACTTTAAACAATTGCCATCTCTTAGATGTGAAAAGTGCGCAGTATGCCACAAAGAACTTGTTTGGTTGATGGGTGTGGTTTTGGTTTTGCTTGATCCTAGAATGAAATATATCCAGATTTACCTTTTACCATGAGGAGGAATTAGCATTGTCAAAGAAGATGTATAACACAACAAAGTTTTGGTCATATTCATTCAATGTTCTTTTCCTTCCTTTGTCTCTGAGATTATTTAGTTTAAATGTAAAACAATAAAATAATTTTCAAAAAATCTGTTCAGCTGTTTTTAAATTCTAAACTTATTTTTTCTGCTGACTGCAAGATCAGGGTCAGAACACCAGAGGGCTCTGTAATTACAGGATTTTTAGAGGGATCTGGATTTATGCCAACAAGATAAATGTGATGAGAGATGGAGCCTTACCAGTATCACCTGGTCCCTCCAGTTGGAGGGATCAGAGCCACCTTTTGTTTTTTCCCCTAATTTTTTCGATACACCTACAGTATATTAATCTCAGCGCTCCCCACCATCAGTTAGAACTGAAGAGGCCTCTTGGATGAAAGGCGAAAAATCATCTAGAAAACTTCACATCCAGTTGCCTAACTGAACTTTTCAAGCTTGACCATGACCTGGATGACAGAATCTTCAAAGTCATCTCACCAGTATTCAGTTTCTTATTTGTATACAACCTGACTCAGTTCCAGCAAGCAATAACTATCACCCACATTTGCTTAACACAACACATTTAGATTTGTTTGTAACTCTGAAATATTAAATGTTAAAAATATAATTTACCTCTTGAAGCAGAATACCATGACATTTTCTGTATGTAGTTAATACTCGTGTGTGAAATACACGCACTAAAATATTTAACGAAACATTACTTAGTATAATACTGTCTGTCAGAGTGACAAATTGATTAAAAGAAACGTTCTGAAGCTTTAAGCTAGACTTTATAGATAGAAGTTTCTGACTATTCAGGGTCTAGCCAATTAGAACATTGATCTTAGATACGTTTCAATAAGATTCCACACTTGAGCCAATGAGATGCCGCAGACACTAAAAGTAACCGCCCCTCAACGAACGAACAACAAACATGGAGTTGTGAACCAGAAGCGAGTTAGTTACGCAGGGACGTTCTGCTGCAGTTTATGTGTAATTGTTTAAGTAACAGTTTTGTAATTCACACACCAAAGAATATGTGACCGTATAAAGCGTAGTTTGTGTTTTACTGTGGCCTTGAGAACTTAATTAACACAAATCTAACCTCCTATAATGTCTTCGACGAAGACAACAGAGCGCTTTAGCTAGCTTGCTGTTTGCTCGTTTTTACTGTCACAGTTCAGCTGGTCAAAAGAGGAAGAACGAGACCTGGACAAACATGGAGAAGGTTGGTTTCTAATTTGTTCTTGAAGTAAGCGTTTAAGCATCAATTTAAGTTTAAGAGACCCATCTTAAGAAACCTACGTGATAGCAAGTGGGGCTGGCTCAATTTCCTTTGTCTTTATATCTGTAGTATGCTAGCTACGCAATTTAAAATAAATGTTGTTTTCCCCTGTTCTAATTGCAGAGAGATTTTCTGAAGGGGCTGCCCGTGTACAACAAAAACAACTTCAGCAGATTCCATGCAGACTCCGTATGTAAAGCATCAGTGAGTGATCCTCATTTCTCCTAAAATCGAGACGAATTTTCGGGATTTCATTGATTCTCAAGATGGTTTGAATGATTATAGATCCACATCTTTTCTCATTATTATTTCAGAACCGTCGTCCCTCTGTATATCTACCAACAAGAGAATATCCATCAGAGCAGAGTAGGTACATACTAAAATCACCTGGAGTCTGTTGAGTTGTTACTTAAAGTGGAACCCGCTGCTCCTTTCTCACCCTCATGATTCAAGGATTTACTTTGTTTGTTTTGTGTAGTCATTGTTACAGAAAAGACAAACATCCTGCTGCGGTATTTACATCAACAATGGGACAAAAAGGTAAGAATTTTTAAATGATGGGTCAGAGTAAAGCATACTCCTCTTGTATTATCGTTGACTATAGATGTTTCGCAATTCACTGTTTAATGGTTGTCTTTTTTTCACTTGACCAGAAAGCAGCCAAAAAACGAGAACAAGATCCGCCAGAAGGGGAAAACACGGCACCTCCAAGAAAAATAGCAAGAACAGACAGTCGGGAACTGAATGAGGATTCGTAAATTGCTGTGCAGTTGATTCTTTGCCAGTAAAGACTTACCTGTTCTAACAAAGTGCACCCATAGATCCAAAACCTGGGTTCGCAGTCACAGTATGTGGTGTTGAAACATACAAGATTTTCTGTTTTTGACTATAGTTGACTCATTGCTCACAATGTTGGACTTAAGATTTTCTTCAGAACCAAACTGTTTTCACACAGCACTTCCTCTATGATGGAGAAAACACATCACTGCAAGAGCTGAAGTTTTGAAAATACCATACATCTACCTCCTTATTCTTTAGTCCATTATGTTTCTATTTCCACTCAATATTGGTTGTATGACAATGTTGCTCCTCTGAAGTCACTTGTCAGTTTACAGTAGTATTTTCTTCATTGATTAATCTAAAATAAGCATGTTTTTTTGTTTCACGTGCCAACAGTTTTGGCTACTACTCTTACCAGGATTTGATTTTTACGAGTAGTTCTTTCACAAATTATTTTGTCTTTATTTTGTCATACTGATAGATAGGAAAACAATAATATGCTACTGGTTTCAAATTGAACATTTATTTTGGGCTTTACTGCATAAAAACATGCAGCCTCAAAGAAATTGTTGAATAAGTCTTGAGGAATAGTCATACACTGCCTTAAATATAAGCGAGTGTGTTTTGTGTTGTTTCAAGATGATGAATCACTGTTGAGTTTATGAATACCTTTGATACATTCAAACGAATATTTACCAAGATATTCAAATTTTGTTAGTATGGTTTGACCCCAAACAGAAATAAATTTGTTCAGTATCCATACACTTCAATGCCAAGGTAATGTAACATTTTGAAGATTAGGGGGCGATGTAAGGTATGTGGAAAAATTAGCCTCGGTAACATGTTGACTCCTAACTATACTCTGGCAATCACATTTGCTTAAATAGGTCCATCATTTTAGCTATGTAGAGGGAGTACCTGTTGTCTCCAACTTGCTTTTGACAGTAGGGGCAAATAAATTGTGTGCGTGCTGCATGTTACATTTCAAGATAACCATAATGCTCCACCAATTAGATATTTTCTACAGTATTTATGTTAGCATTACACTGGCCTTTCTGAGACAGACAGGGTTAGTTTACTTTGTTCAGACAAGTTTTCTGTTCAGTTGTAGTCTTAAAACTAGAATTTGGTCGTGACCAACATGTACACGTGGTCAGGAATGATTTATATGCACCTTCGGAAAACAATACGTCTTGCAACATATTTTGCACAGTTTAAAGTTAATGTGCTTTTTTTTAATGTAATGCTGTCAAGATTAGAGTATGTGTTTACTTTAGCTGCTGATGCAAACAGAAAAAAGAAAGAGTGAATTCATGTATATTGTTCAAGTGTGACTTGAACATTGTACTATTTTTACTTTAGTCATGAGACTTAAATTTAGAATGCATTTAATTTGCTTTGAGTTTAATGCAAAAGTGTTTGATTTATTATTCTTTTGCTCTGTAAAGATTACACTGTAACATACAGTAAACACTCAGCAAACAAACACTTCTTTGGGTGAGGAAATTTCTTCTGTCCAATTTAACATAATTTCTATTTCAAACAAGTGTGGATACAGCAATAGCTTAGGCTGTGATTAGGAACCGTCTCCTATAAAAACAATTTTTAAAAAACAAGACTCAGCTTGTAAAACAAGTCTATTAAATTGCCTAAATTCATATGCTTTATCAACTAGTCACATCCAGCTCTCCTTGACGTTAGCTGCATGGGCTCGTGAAAACAATATTTACTCATCTAGTATTTTTAACTGTTGATAGATACTAATTCAAGTGACATTTATTTGCATCATAGTGTTACATTCACTAAATTTATGTAGTAAAATAATTAATAGAAATTCAAAGCTTGGAAAAATAGACTTTTTTTTCATGGTCACAGTGAATTTATCTGACCTATTGCAGACGAATACAATGGCTTTGAGCGCATCAACACTAGAAAAACAAAAAAAAACAATGACCTTGTCATGGATGCACATGACGACATGCATTCGTTACTAGAATCGAAATGAGACACATCCCTGGAATGGGATGTTGTTTTTTATGTCCTTTGGTAAATGGACCGTGATGCTGTACTTTCAAAGAAAGGTCAGTCATATCAATATTATCTGTTCTGGTGCTGTTGAAAACAAGGCAGTCATGCAGTTATATAACCTTAGCCAAAGGTTACTGAAGCCTTATTCAAGACAATACATTTACTATACATTTTCAACTTGGAAGTTTGCGGTGTTAATAGATACGGGACTTTCTGAGAGGGAAATTGCATCGAGTTAGAGTATAATGCTTGTTGCCCTTACAGGTTGCCCTTGTGGTTGATGTGTTTTTCTACTCTGTAGGTGCAACTGTGACCTAAAAAAGTTGCCTGAACATCTGTACATTGCTCGCCGTTTCTAGTATTACATGGATCTAGTTTATTGTTTATAAAGCCTTTGAGTTTGGGTTTTCAACGTCATTCTGTTGTCTCAATTCACCTTTATCAGACTCACAAGAGGGTAATTCTTCTGGGGTTGTGTTTGGATCCATCCGGCTGGGCTGAGTGTAAGCAGTTTGGGTCAGTTGCTGTGTCCCATTTGTATACACCACTGTACCCTCGGACTTACTAAAGCTGAATAATTTTCCGGGGCTGAATGTCCTGTTTGGAGACTGTGATCTCTCTTGACCACTAGAAGGGACTGAAGACAGTGCCGTTGATCCCGGCATTGCTCCTGCTGCCACTGCTGGCTCTTTTTTAACCTCTGTTGACTTTAAAAACTTCAGAAATCCAGGAAGCTTGGCTTCCCCTCCAGTTGGGGACTGTGCTGGTGAGCGTGAACTACTAGATGAAAACTTCCCCTGGAGAGGAATGATCTGTTTCAATTTCATCACATTATTGTTTCCCAGAAGAGAGCTGGGTCTCTTGGGCTTGTCCCCTGCCTTGTTCCCTTGTCCTTTGTCATGATGGTGCTGGTGTTGGGTGTCTGCCTTATGGTAGTCATTCTCCTGAGCCTGAAGCTCAGCCTGTCGATGAATCTCCTCTTCCTCTCGTCGCCGTCTGAGCTGCTGCTGGAAGTGTTGCTGGGCCTGCAGCTCATGCTTCTAAAAAAAGGCAGAGTATAGCAAGAACTTAGAGTAATTGAGGAAGCCAAAGTGAACCAGAAAGGAGATGTGGTTTTGAAAAGGAAAAAAGTATGCACATGACAGCGCAAATATTTCACAGTATGAATACGGACACACACAAGGATTAAACCTAGAGTAAATAAAAGTTGGGTGGCACATTTACACTAAACATGACATTTTTAAAGCTGTGCAAAAGTGAATATCAGAATTCAATAACTTATCAATCATTTGTCAATCATTTACAGCTTGTATGTGACAAGCGTTTCAATCCACAGTTCCGGTGATTGAGCAAGCAGGTCTAATGACCCATTAATCTCTGGTTTCATAGCAGTTATTTTGGAAGGTTCAACTAAAAACACCAAAAAATCATACATGTGTGTAACTGAAGAACAATACTTAGCTTAATTTGCCCTACAAGCCATCCAGACACTTCAGTGATTTGAAAAGTTACGTACCTGAATGCATCTTTTTATGACCCGGAACCTAAATAAATTTATAGCTCTTGAAAAAAATCCATTGGGCATTAAGATGATCGGTGATGTAGGTTAAAATGCATTTTAACTGCATTTATTTGTGAACAGGGCAAAATGTGTCATTCACCTGTTGCAGCAACAATAGTTTCCCTGACAAAGATGTTCTCTGGATGAAAAAATATGTAACTTCTTTACCAATAATAATCTTGGTACTTTGAGTTTGAGTTTTTAACTCATGTGCACAAATGCAGGATTAATTTTAATCACAACAAGCTAAGTTGGTACCTCTTCTTATTTTCAACAGTTCAACAAAAAGTTCATCAATCACATTGTGAATTTTAATTTGATCAGACTAGACCAAAATTCTCCACTTCAACCCATCCATTCCAAGTAAATCCAGGATCAGAGAATGTAGCAGTCTTCTAATCTTAGTTGCTTTTGCCTGGTAAGTGAACTTACCTCTGTGTTAGGAACTGTATTCACAGTCATTGGTTTTCAAAGGTGTTCATGAGTCAAAGATGTTGTTTTACAGCAGAATCATCAATGACTCTTTGTCCCTTGCTTGATAAATGCTAATAAGTTTTTAATCATATAAACAATGTAGCTGATTAAATCTCTTAGTCCATTGTAATTATAGATAAAGAAACTGCATTCTTTCACTGGCAGTCCCTGAGTGTAGAGCCCCTCCCGCTATTTGATTCTGAATTATGCCTGCTCTTTTCGCACCCAATAATTATGCTGACCTATTCCCAATTAACCTAGGAAATTGTTAGATGGTCTAGTGGGAATTTCTAAAAATCTTTAGTTCCCTTTATTTCTCCTAGTCTCTGTGTTGTTAAAACCTTTTTCCTAACAAGTTCAAAATTGGACTAAAATGAATTATGAAAAAATAATCCAAATGATTGTAATAATATGTTATCTTTGAATTACATTCAGCTTGATATAAGACTTGGAATGGAAATAATTATTTACTTTTAAACTGTGTCTCAGGTTTTGTGGGTTTTAACTGTCCAGCTCAGTTGATGTGATACGACACAAGACAGAGAGTGACCTGTGTACAGACACGTGTGGGAACAGTTTAAAAATGATGAACTGCACTGCACATTTTAGGTTAATGAATGAAATTACGGGACACATGAATACACAGACACAGTAGTAATATGATACAAACTGCAGCCAACAAGTCTTATGTTGGCAGAAGGTCTTTCAAGCTATGAGACAGTTATACCTTGAAAGCTTCCCTTCGTCGATACTCTAGCTTGGCCATCTCGTCTGCTACCCAGCCAGGAATATCAGGGATGGCAACATGGATGACGTACTTTAGCAGGATTGCAAAGTGCTGGAAACCACCAAGACCACAAAGGGGGACAAACTCAACAAACGCTTACACTGAAACACACATTGTATCATATATATCATATACTTTTTTCATGGATAGATAGATGGATATATATCATACATGCACCAAAAACATTTATGTTTATTACTGAATGAAGAAGTACAGGTCAAATTTCAACTCAGACCACTCTTAGATCTCTAAAAAACAAAAGTAAAGAGAGGGAGAAAAAAAACTCACATTTGTAGAACAATCACACTGCAGCACGTACCTCAAGTAAGACAATGGAGATTATGGTCATCTCAGGACTCAACCAGGGAAACAGACGCTGGAGCTGCCCACACTGACCAATCAGGTAACAGTTAACTATAATGGCTATTAAGCCCATGGCCTCCATCGCAGTCTGATGTTGACAGAAATGGAGTGGGAAATGGGAAGAAATTTACCGGCCATGCTGATGGTTGTTTTAAAGGCTTTTGTAACATTTTCTAAAATAAAATAACAGCAGACCTGCCATTGCCCAATGTTCTCCACCCTCTGGCCAAATGGCCTCTGCAGGCCAGTACAGAGCTTCAGGGCATCGCTGCGTATCTCAATAATGTTGTTAATAAGAGCACACATGGCAGCGAGCGGAAATGCGGAAGAGAAGAGGACCACATAGCCAAACTGAATGAACATCTCTTGGTAGTCTTGAAGTGTTCCCTGTCGAAGTGAATAGTATGAATCAATATTATTACACCAATATTTTTTATGGATATATTTGTACATTTTCTTAATTCAAAGCTTTTAATCTACCCTTTTACTGTGTACGTGGCCATGCATTTCTTGAATCTTGAATATTGGTATCCAAACAAAAAATGACTTTCCCTTCTTTGGTTTTACGTTTCAGGACATAATGAGAAATTATCGTCTTCTTACTGAGTTTTGGCAAATGAGGTTAAACACATTCAGAAGGAAAACAAAACATAACTTATGTCTATGTGTCACAATCCATTATAAAAAATATAGCCAAAATGCTTAAAGATTTGAAATACCCATCCTTATTGCTTCCATAACAATTAAAATGATAAATTGCAGAAAGTCACTTAATTAAATGCAATTAATCTGACATTTGTAAGCTGATCAGGAACAAAAAAAAACAACAAAACAACTATGATTTGAAGAAGTAACAGTTCCTTACAATCAATCTGGGAAGATATGTGAGGTAATGATAAAGTATTTGATGGCCATCATTCTACAGATAGAACCATTTACAGGTGGAAGACATTTAATTAAGATTTTTAATTTCCCAGGAGATTACATCTAGCAAGTTCACCACATGATCAAGGCTCACTATGTGTACTGCAAAAAGATTTCAAAACTATGTCTAACACATTATAATTTGCATGTTGAATCTGAAAGTTCATGATGATAAAATTTGAAAAAAGTTTAATTGTTCTGAATGGTTGTCTCGACTGGCTAACAACGGCATGGCAGAAAAGCTTAGGTTTACAAAGCTTAATCTGCATTCAATGGACCACAATACTTTGTGAACAGTGTCTTTGTTTCATTAGAAAAAGATGATGATGTCTGGTGATAATGCTCAGAAACACGTTCAGTTTTACTTTGCACTGATACCCCATACCAACTATAATTCATAGTACTGGAGGGCTGGTGATTTGGGCCTATACTGGTGGAGCCATCCATGAACTTCTTTGTTAGTAGTATTATAGGGGACCCAATCTATCCCAATGCTAAATACCCGATATAGCATGATGCAAAATGAATAATGTTATTGCAATAGCACAATTAAATTAGAGGGTTAGATTGAATTAGATTCTAAAGTAGAACTCTATGTGAAAAAATATCCATAATAACACAATGAGACAGAGCAAGCTTTTAAAGAGTGGATCATGACTGTATTAACTCCAAAAGTAAAATAATTGTGAAAGCTCAAAATTATTGAAGAATGAAAATATAGAAACTTTTGTTAGAGGCTGCTTACTTTTGGTTAAAAAATATAAATACATAAGGTAAGGCCTATGTGATGCTGTTCACCTGAAGTTATTCTCATCTTTCTATTGTGTGTTTACCTCATATGTTTGCATGCAGCTCTCAATCTCCGCCTGGGTCAGGGTTACTGCTTTGGATTCCTCTGGTGGATCAATCCATGACTTCTTGTCATCTTTTCCTTCACCAATATTCTTTCTTCTCTGACACACTGAGTCAGATTCTCTTGGCCCACTCACCTTTTCCTTTGTGTCCTGTTAAAGTACACATTAGAATACAATACTTTCTGAAGTAACAACTATGTCAACTATAATTCTTCTTTATGTTTGAAAAGCATAATATAATTATTTTGCCAAGACATTGTACAACAGAATGTCATTCATTCAATATGGCGTACAGTAAGAATAATAAATAACAACTATTAGGCTAAATAAATATATTTAGTCAGTATATTGACTAAATGACTATTTTGAACAAACAAACTTGGCAGAAGTGAGTTTTTTGGTAAAGTAAAAAAGCCCAGACCATACACCTAAAGGTAGAATCATGAACAACTGAAATAAGCAAACCACATACTTGAGCCGATGTTTCACAATCACTATCCTCATCACAACTATCAAAAATACTGGATGGATCCATCCCGTCTTCTACAAGTGTGGGGCTGTCCTCTAGGTAACTGTCATCAACTGCCTGTGTTTCTGTTGTGACATCCTGGTAGTCCACCTTTTCTGTGAAGCTGACTTTCCGTTGCTTCAGGGCGCAATCGTTCATATCCCACTCTTCCTCTGTCAGCCTAAAACCTGCTTTCAGATCACCTCTTCTTTTTGGCTCGGGGTCACAGTTTGGAACCTGACCAACCGGGATTCCTCTGGGACCCAAGAAGGAATACGATGTTATGGAAGCCTGTGCCTTTCCCAGGGCTAAGCGGCCATACTTGAGCATAATAGCTTGAGCCAGCTCCCACAGCACCTTTGGGGTAAAGACACCCAGCTTGTTTTGCTCATACAGATAAGGCTGGAGGACTTCTTTTATATTCTGCAGAAATTGGCGGAAAATCAGCAGAGTAGCTAGCATCTAAGGGGGAAAGGAATTATTTTTAGTTTTTTTTTAAGAAATGCTAAAATCTCACAATTGAAGAGAAAAAAAAAACATTTCTGATATTATACCCAGTCTGACATTCAATTTAACAGTTAAGCAAAACAAGAAATGGATTTGACCTTTGTATACATTGTTCAGTATTAATGGTGCTTTAACAGATGAGTAAGTTAACCGTCCCCTGTAGATTAAAGCACCCTTACACCATCATTATGTGTTTATTGAAAAGACTGACTATCTTTCTCCTCTTTGGCCTAGAGAATGCAGTTGTTGATGATTTCCAAAAAAACTTAGTCAGAACACAGAGAAGATTTCCTTGACCTAATTTGCATGGTGAGTGTTAGCTTGCATATGTGGATGAAGATGCAAAAATGTCTAGTGCTTATTTTGAGTTCAGTGTAGAGTTATAATGAAACATGCAAAACATTTTATTCCATTTTTATCTACACACTAGGATTAATCTTGCCACTTTTTCTAAAGTATTTCCTGAAAGGAGGTATTACCTCTTTCAGTCGCTCCATGTCCTTGAGATAGAAACCAATGTAGAAAAGGCTAAGGTAAGAATTGATGAATTCAAACTGTTAAACAACAAGAAAATAGAATTAAATAAAAATCCTAACAATGATAATATATTTGTATTAAACCACAGTACAAAGAGAGCAGAAGAAGTGGTATGACTTACAAAAACCATCTTTATGATGAGATTGTTCTCATAGGCACTCTGAAGTCTGTAGTTCTCTGGATAATAAAAAAGGAAAGAATTACATCTTGCCCAGGATGCTTAAAGTATGCTACTTCTCTTTTAAATGCCTAATCGACCCAAACTGGAAATAAGACAAATGTAAAATAGGGTATAACTGTGACGTTCTGGCTCCGCCCACCTGCTCTCACTCTCTGCCTGCAATCAGCGACATTGGTCGCACCTGTCCCGGTCAGTACAAGTAGTCCTCTCACTCACTCACATTTGCCAGAACGTCTCAATACCTTTTTCGTGTGAGTACTTCCAGCGTTGTTCCTGCCTGACTGCCCGTTTGCTACCTGATTGACCCCGACTCCGAGCCTGCCTGCCCCTCGTCTGCTTCTCTTGCCTCGCCTGTGTTCCAGCCTGTCTGACTCAGTGCTTGCCTGCCTGCCTGTGCCCCCGACTCTGCCTGCCCGACTCTGCGCCCCCGTCTCATCCCCCTGGACTGCTCCCCTGGCTTCGACCCCTGCTCGTTACTGGACTACCCGTTGGATTATCCCCTGGTTCTTGCTGGACTGACCACACGGTACCGACCTCGCCTGTCTGACCACGCCGCAGGAACCTTCCTGTCTGTTAATAAAACCCGTTAAACTGACCGTTTGCCTCCGGGTGTTTTTGGGTCCGAAGAACCGTACATTACAGTACGTTCTGGCCAACATGGACCCAAACCCCGACGGTCAGTGGCGAGCGGGGGTGGAGAGATCCATCAACCAGCTGGAGGGCGGCGTCATGGAGATCCTCGCCCGGCTCCGTGACCACGCCTCCCCAGCGGCTCCACTTCCGCAAGCTTCTCCGCCTGCCCCCGCGTCACCACCAGCGTCAAGGTTTCCACCGGAGCCGCGCCTCGCACCACCCGGAGCTTTCGGAGGCGATCCGGAGCAATGCCGGGCCTTTCTCACTCAGTGCGAGATAAACTTTGAGCTGCAGCCCTCCTGTTTCCCGACGGATCGAGCCAGGGTGGCTTACGTCATCTCGCTGCTGGAGGGTAAGGCGAGACTGTGGGGGGCTTCGGAGTGGCAAAATGACACCGCCGCCTGCCATTCATATGCTGCTTTCTCCCAAGAACTGACCAGGGTCTTCAGTCCGGTGCTGCCCTGCCGTGAGTCATCCCGGGGTCTCTTGACTCTCCGGCAGGGAGCGCGGACAGTGTCGGAGTATATTATCGATTTCCATCTGCTCGCGGCGGAGAGCCGGTGGAACGAGTGGGCACTCATGGACGTGTTTATTCATGGGTTAGATGCAGGAATTAAGGACGAGCTGGCTACCCGGGATTATCCAACGTCTCTCAGAGATTTGGAGCAGCTCGCCACCCGGGTGGACATTCGCCTCCAGGAGCGACAGAGGGAGCGCCGCTCAACCCCGCCCCCGGGGCCGGCTGCTGTTCCAGCTGGCTCCATCTCTCCTCCGCAGCGGGCAGCCGGTCCTGAGCCTATGCAGCTGGGCCGGACCACCTTGCCGAGGGAGGAGCACCAGCGCAGGAGGCAGCAGGGGCTTTGCCTGTACTGCGGGGGGGCTGGCCACCAAGTCAGGTCGTGCCCAGTAAAAGGGCAAGCTCAGTAGGGGGAGGGGGATCCCTACTGAGCTACACAAGGACGACCGTTCTCCCAGACCTGTTATTGCCTGCCACATTAACTGTCTCCACTAAACCCCACAGACTCTCCGTCTTCATCGACTCTGGGGCCGACACGGAGTTCATGGATGAGGAGCTGGCCAGGAGACTCGACATTAAGCTCCAACCAGGCTCCTCTCCACGCAGTGTTCTCGCGCTTGATGGCCATGAACTTAACCAGTCACGGCTCGTGACTGAGCCGGTGGAACTGACGGTAGGGGGGAACCACCGCGAGGAATTAACTTTTCTCATAATTAAGTCCCCGCAGGTCCCTGTCATTTTGGGGGCCACCTGGCTCCGGAAGCATAATCCGGAGATCGATTGGCGCCGCGGCGAGGTGAGGGGATGGGCTCCCTCCTGTGCCAAACTCTGCCTGGCTTCCGCGCAGCCTCGGCTGGCCACCCAGGGTAGGAGGGAGCAGGACTACCCGGACCTCTCCAAGGTGCCGGTGGACTATCATGACCTTAAGGAGGTATTTAATAAGGCTAGGGCCACGAGCCTGCCCCCACACCGGCCATTCGACTGCGCCATCGACCTTCTACCCGGTGCTGTTCCCCCCAGGGGGCGTCTCTTTTCTCTCTCTTCTCCGGAGTCACAGGCTATGAGGGAGTACATCAACGAGTCCCTGAGGACAGGCATAATTCGCCCCTCATCATCTCCGGCTGGCGCAGGGTTCTTCTTTGTGGGGAAGAAGGATGGCACCCTCCGACCCTGCATCGACTACAGGGGACTCAACGCCATATCGGTGAAGAACCGGTACCCCATTCCCCTGATGAACACGGCGTTTGACCAGGTACAGGGGGCTAGGATCTTCACCAAACTGGATCTGCGCAACGCCTACCATCTAGTTCGCATCAGGGAGGGCGACGAGTGGAAGACGGCGTTCAACACCCCCACTGGCCACTACGAGTACCTCGTCATGCCATTCGGCCTCACCAACGCCCCGGGGGTCTTCCAGAACTTGGTTAACGAGGTACTTAAAGACATGATTGGCCATTTCGTTTTTGTCTATCTGGATGACATTCTCATTTACTCTGATAACCCCACGCTCCACAAGCAGCACGTACGCTCAGTTCTTCTCCGGCTCCTGCAGAACCAGCTATACGTTAAGGCAGAGAAATGTGAGTTCCACACCACTACTACCTCCTTTCTGGGCTTTGTGCTGTCTCCGGGCCAAGTATCTATGGACCCCGCCAAGGTCAGGGCGGTGGTCGAGTGGCCCGTTCCGGTTGACCGCAGACAGCTTCAACGGTTCCTGGGCTTCGCCAACTTCTTTAGGAGATTCATAAAGAATTACAGTCAGGTCGCTTCGCCCCTCCACAGCCTCACATCCAACAAGGCCAGGTTTGTGTGGAACGACGCAGCCGCCAAGGCCTTCAGCGAGCTGAAGAGGCGATTTACCTCCGCCCCCATCCTTGTCTCCCCAGACCGGCAGAGACAGTTTGTGGTGGAGGTGGATGCTTCCAGTTCCGGAGTGGGGGCCGTCCTTAGCCAGGAGGCCAGTGATGGTTGTGTTCACCCATGTGCTTACTTCTCCAGGAAGCTGTCCGTTGCGGAGCGGAATTATGACGTTGGCAACCGCGAGCTTCTGGCCGTCAAATTGGCACTGGAGGAGTGGAGGCACTGGCTGGAGGGGGCCAAGCTGCCTTTCATGGTGTGGACCGATCACAGGAACCTGGAGTACCTGAAGACGGCCAAGAGACTCAACCCCAGGCAGGCCAGGTGGGCCTTGTTTTTTGGTCGCTTCGACTTCACCCTATCCTACAGGCCGGGCACTAAGAATGTCAAGCCTGACGCGCTGTCCAGAGTGTTTGAGGCCGAAGAGAAGGAGCAGGACCTGGAGCGGAACTTTATCCTTCCGGACTCTGTTAGGTGCGCCGTCTCTCGCCTGGGTCTCGAGCGGGAGGTCAGGGAGGCGGTGGCGGCCTCTCACGTTCCCGAGGCTTGCCCCAGGGATCGGCTGTTCGTCCCGGACCATCTCAGACAGAAGGTCCTGGGGTTCTGCCACAGCTCCCGCCTTTATGGCCACCCCGGCATCACTAACACCCTGCGTCTTACCCGTTCTCAATTCTGGTGGCCCTCCCTATCTGAAGACGTCCACGGCTTTGTCTCCGCCTGCGTCACCTGTAACCAGGCCAAGGTCTCGAGGCGCCCCCCGGCTGGCCTGCTCCGTCCGTTGCCTGTACCTGCTCGTCCCTGGTCCTGTTTGTCCATGGACTTCATCACTGGCCTGCCACCATCTGAGGGTCACACGGTCATACTCACAGTCGTCGACCGCTTTTCGAAAATGGTCCATCTGGTCCCGTTGCCTAAGCTCCCGTCAGCCAAGGAGATGGGGGTCATCCTGGCGAAGGAGGTCTTCAGGCTCCATGGGCTCCCAGCGGATATCGTGTCGGACAGGGGTCCCCAGTTTGTGGCCCGCTACTGGAAGGAGTTCTGCTCGCTGCTGGGAATCTCGGTGAGTCTCTCCTCTGGCTTTCACCCCCAAACAGATGGGCAGACCGAGAGGGCCAACCAGGAGGCCGATACCAAGTTGCGCATCTTCTGCCAGTCGGACCCCACCAAGTGGGCCCAGAACCTGCCTTGGGCAGAGTATGCCATCAACGCTACGCCATCCGCTTCCACCGGACTCTCGCCATTCTTTGTGGTGTACGGCTTTCAGCCCCCGGTTTTCTCCATGGAGGAGGTGGAATCTCGGGTGCCCTCTGCCCGCCTGTCTGCCCTGAGATGCCAGCGCGCTTGGAGGAGGGCCAGGAGAGCCATCGTCGCCGCCAGGCAGAATCAGGCCCGCGCTGCTAACCGCCGGCGGACCCTGGCCCCTCAGTACAAGGTGGGGGATAAGGTATGGCTCTCAACTAAAGATCTCCCCCTCAAGGTCGAGAGCAGGAAGCTGGCGCCACGCTTCGTGGGCCCATTTCCCGTGGTGAGGGTGATCAACCCGGTGGCTGTGCGCCTCCGTCTGCCCCCTTCAATGAAGGTACACCCCACCTTTCATGTCTCACGGCTTAAACCTGTCTCTGTCTCTGACCTGGCGCCCGCCTCCGCGTCCCCGCCACCCACCCGGCTCATCGACGGTGCTCCGGCGTTCACGGTCAGGAGGATCCTGAGGTCACGCAAATGGGGCAGGGGTACGCAGTATCTCATCGACTGGGAGGGCTACGGCCCGGAGGAGCGCCAGTGGGTCCCTGCCAGCCGGGTCCTGGACAAGTCCCTTATTAGGGAGTTTCACAGAGCCCACCCAGAACAACCTAGGGCGTCTGGGATCCGCCCTTGAGGGGGGGGGCTCTGTGACGTTCTGGCTCCGCCCACCTGCTCTCACTCTCTGCCTGCAATCAGCGACATTGGTCGCACCTGTCCCGGTCAGTACAAGTAGTCCTCTCACTCACTCACATTTGCCAGAACGTCTAAATACCTTTTTCGTGTGAGTACTTCCAGCATTGTTCCTGCCTGACTGCCCGTTTGCTACCTGATTGACCCCGACTCCGAGCCTGCCTGCCCCTCGTCTGCTTCTCTTGCCTCGCCTGTGTTCCAGCCTGTCTGACTCAGTGCTTGCCTGCCTGCCTGTGCCCCCGACTCTGCCTGCCCGACTCTGCGCCCCCGTCTCATCCCCCTGGACGGCTCCCCTGGCTTCGACCCCTGCTCGTTACTGGACTACCCGTTGGATTATCCCCTGGATCTTGCTGGACTGACCACACGGTACCGACCTCGCCTGTCTGACCACGCCGCAGGAACCTTCCTGTCTGTTAATAAAACCCGTTAAACTGACCGTTTGCCTCCGGGTGTTTTTGGGTCCGAATTACAATAACTAAAAGAAAACCTGTTCTAACATTATTTTACAATAAAGCAACACCGCAAAACTGAATATTTATTTCATATTATTATAGATCAGCAATATTACATATCTAATTTGCCCAAAATATCTGATTTAGTCTCCTACCCATGTCATTGAGCCAGTAGGCAATTTTTTTATATACTTCATCACATATAGTCACAGTAATGGCCAGAAGAATCTTAGGGATGAATCTTGTAACACCGGGAAGCTCCTGAATTTCCATAACCACTTCCTGCAAGGACAATTAGAAGCATGATACATTTTTAGTCTTTTTCATTCATATCTCTTAACATGTGGCTATTTCAAATGCTTGATAAATATAAAATACGTTTGAAAGCAGTCCATCTAAGCTGTTTTAAGAAAAAGCATAAGTATTATTTCTAAGAATTTCATGGTATTTTCTGTTTTGTTTATGTTTGTGTGTTAGCTATGTTATCGCCAATTCACTTTTCACTATTCTCCATTTTTCTTCTCAGTTACTCAGTTACTTTTTCTCATATCATGCACATTCAGGTCCAAACCTGCAATTCCAGACAAAGAAGCATAGCTAGGAAGACAAAACAGAGGCAGAGGAGGCAGATGGGCAGGCTGACCAGCCATCTGAACAGAACTCTCTTCCAGGGAGGGTAGTAGAACTCTTCACACCCAGTTATAGGGCTGCAGCGTTTCACCCCCTACAGAAACAGCAGAAAAGGAAGCAGACAAAAGTGCTACTGTATAATGGAATATTTGTACAATTGTGATACATAATTGCTGCTCTCGTGATTGTTTAATGGACACATTCTCTGCCTTTACAAAGTTTTTACAAAGTTTGGCCCCCTCTCAAAATTTCTACATAAATTATTGTTTATTCCAAATGCAAGAAAGGAAATCACACGGAAGACCTTAAGAGACGTGTCATTTGTTTATATAATGAAGTCTGTACACTTTGTAGCTGGTTATCCCCACATAACGCGCCTCCACTTTCCAATACATACAGAACTAACCCAGTGACAACACCAGTGAAAACAGAGTGATAAAAAGAATATTACCTATGCACTTGTTAGAAGCTCTAAATTATTAAGAGACTTATTACAAATCATTTCAAATGCAAACAAGTATGATCTGGTGGAATTCACTGATTGCTGAAAACTAGAATTTATCAACAATTCTCACTCTGAACTGAGGCCTGGGCTCCTCCAAGGACTCAGCCGGCGTATCCAAAGTCCCCCACCTGTAAGCCAGCTCTGCCTCTCGCCTTTTCCAGCGTTCCAAAAACAATGTTGCCCACACAACGTTGAAGAGGGCAAAAACAACACAGCAGATATCCTGACTAGTCTGTGCGGGAATATTACATAATAAACATTTAGAAAATTCAGATTATGGAGAGAACAGAGAGAATGATCTAAAACAAGCAAGTGTATGATGACAGGAAAACAATCACCAGACAATCTTCCAGTTGATTTAAAGATAAACGGCGAAAAATGTTTAATAACCTGGTCAGCTTCTGCTAATATCCAGAGCAGAAAGCCAATAACAGCAGGGTAGAGCATAGAGTTAGTGTAGAAACCCAGCCAGGCGAAGTACATCCCAATCTTCACTCCAAAGTAGTCGTAGATATCATCTAAGTATATGCAAAATAAACTCATTTTAAGCCGGCACTGATGAGAAAAAAAGCTTATATCATAGTAACAAGTAAACTATTGTTATCCATGGTATCATTTGACATTTTAGTTTGAATGCCTTTCGAGGTTTTTGTTCAAATTATTTTTATGGTTATTATCTAATCAAGAGAAATAATAGCATTTCCTACCAAGGGGCTGCCTTTCACATACAGCCTGCACCCAAGATGTCATCAGCTGGTTAAGTATCCTCTGCTCATGAAGAGGAAACATTTGATTGATCACCCCTCGAGCAACAAGCTCTGGAACTAAAGATGACCCAGCATTAGATTTTGTTTGAAAGATCAACTAACATCTTTACTCGGGAAAGTAGTATTAACAACTTACATGATCAAGGGTCAAAATTAAAGCTAAGACAGGAGGCTTCCTTTTTAATATATCAAGATTTATTTAGATTTTTTTCACCTTACTACAACAGAAAAAACAGGCCATGGTTTAGAGTTTGAGTTTAGGGTTAGCACATTTTTTACAGAAACTTCTCAAAATCAATTTTATAGGGATAAAAAGGCTACTAAGTCTAAAAATGTTATTAATGATAAATAGCATACTGATTGGCTGTCCTTCCAGAAAGTGGATGTTGTGAAGCACCTCTCCCTGTTTGGCACGCAGATTGTCCAGCCAATACTTAATTATGCTCTGGCGTTCCTGAATACAATCATAAATGCAAGGGAAAAACATAATGACATGAGCTGGCAAATATATAAAGCTGACAAATGTTCTTTAAATGGTCTTGCCCATTTAACATCCCCAGCATATACAAACACCACTGATGTACAGCATAGCAGTTTCAACTCTCAGCATTGTTTTGTTTCTAACCTGTGAGGTAAAAAAGCAGAGCTCGCTCTCTATGTTCTCATAAATGTTGTCCTCTTCACAGGAAAACCGCCGCATTCCACCACCAAACTGTGGTTTAACAGTCTTGTACATGCCCATCTGTTCAGCCCCTTGCAATAAACTGTCGGTGTGCAGAGAGAGTAAACAAACAGTGTGATTTAAACAACTGGAATAAAAAAACTCTGCAGAGGCTGTATAGCATGTTAGCTCAAGAGTGTCAACAAAATAAATTATAACAAGGCAAGGCAAATTGATTATTTTTCACATTTTGTGTTAAAGACTATTGAAAGTGCTGTAAATAAAAACATTTATTTCAGAAGAAAATGTATTAAAAAGTAAAATAGTTTAAAGGCAGACATTTAAAACACAGACACATAGGTTAAACAGAATCAACCAAATGAGATTTAAAAACGCATAAAAAAGATTTTAAAAAAGCTACAGTGCATGTGGTAGATTACTGAAATATAGAGGTTAATAAAAAGGTTTTCAAAAGTTTATCTTGACTTAAAGCAGTTGAGAGTTTAAGCAGCCCTGATGTATACTGGGAGTTTGTTTCACAGGTGAGGAGCGTAAAAGCTTAAAGCACTGGGTTTGGTAACAACTCCTGGCACAGAAAGTAGGCATGACCATACACTTTCAGGTTCTGTTTGGTTCACAGTGGACTGGGAGATCAGAAATGTATTATGGCTCTAGACCCTTCAGAGATGTATTAACCAGCAGTATATCATTAATTACGTACATAATTCTTATTATTATCATCTATGTCATTATTAATCTAAAGTTACATTCAAATGCCACTATTACAATGATTTGTGTTAATTTACTATCAACTAATAAGCTTAGCTGGAAAGACACTAAACTGGTTTCTTAAAATAAATGGACTGTACTGTTTGGTGATTTTGTAGTTGAGCTGTTTTAAAGTGGTTTTACACTAAATTATACATTTACTCACACAAACAATCTCACTTTTACTTCGTATAATTAGTGACCTGTCGAACAGAGGGGAGACACCATGTGATCCTATGTGAATTGGCAAACAATGCAACTCTTTAATTAAACTGGAAAACTACAGAGATAAAAGTCTGAATCTTAGCTAGTTTATTCATAGCGATCACATTATCAAATGAAGTTAAGAGAAGGATTAAAATAGAATTCACTGGCACAAAGCTTGGTGAGTCTATTAAAAAAAAAAAAAAAAACTAAAATCATGGGGTTAGGCTTTATCATTTATTTTTCCTATAGGTATTGAGGTTACATTAGCTGTGATTTGGCACAATATAAAAAACTAATTCAACTGATCTGTATGGAATGTGTCTCCTCTTATCATCCTGTTGCTGCAATCAAAATATGACCAGTCATATTTTGGTCTAAAATGGAAATGAAAATGACCCCATTTATAAAACCAAGCAAGTACAAACACAGAGGTAGATGTTGAGTCTTACTTTTCAAATGTTGTGGTGATGAAGAAGGCATGTGTCTGGGTGTGTTTATGCTCTCGGACCTGGATACTGACTTGTGGGATTCCAAGACGAATCTGATTCAGGAGCCACAGCAGAGTGTGGTCATCTATTGTATCTGTGGGATGCAAACTACTTTCATTAGATTGCATTATTAGCGCTGATACAAGACATGAGCATGGGCAAACATTTCATAGCAAACATTTATTTGTCTGTACCCTCTGCACATATCGTAAACGATTTCTGTTGCCTGAGCAGGCTGAACCAAAGCCATTGTTCACTGCAATAACATTGGCCACAGCATCCATTGGGTTTTATAAGGTTTATTTAAACCTATAAATACATTAAAACTACTAGTAAACTAGAATGGATTACAGTCTGATTTGAGTTGAGTGTATGCAGAACATGGCATCTCTAAGAAACTTCTACATGCCTGCGATGGGCCGTCCAGGGTGTACCCTGCCTCTCGCCAATTGACTATTGGGATATGCTCCAGTCCAGAATAAGCGCTTACGAAAATTGATGGATGGATGGAGAATAAACCCATAATATGAATATAGAATATATAGAATCAGTAAAACTGAAAACCCAGTTATTCTTTAACAGTGCGTGCTGTTTCATTTTAATTAGGAATTTAAAGGCATTTAGGAATTTTGAAGGCAGCAATTTCAGAAAAGTTAATAATGTTTCCTTTGAAAAAACACATGATGACATTGTGCTACCATATTGTTGAGGTAATGCTGCTGACAATGAGGTAAATTTCACGAACGCTTTATTTACTCAACACCCCGCAAGTCTCTGAAAACGTCTGAAATTTTTTAAGTAGCCTCTGACAAGATTTAAGATCTATGATCGTGGCAAAAGATAGATTGTAATGTGAAGGTTACAGCGCAGCTCACTGCTGACATTAGAAATATCTATGGAGGTAAAAGCCAATCTAGAGGCAAATGTTTGTAATGTGAAGAGGCAAAACGCTCTAGCAGCTGAATTTGCATGGGGCATGGCAAACTTTCAATTTGCCTTTGGTATGAATGAACCATAACGCCTTAAACAAACTAATAAATACTTTGCATGTCTATTGAAATCTGCCTGAAAAACATTTATGTTGAATGTTGTTTCCTTCTTTGATTCACCGATGTGTTGTTACTCTTATTCAAATAGATGAGCGGCTGGACGATTTCCAAGTTGTCACTGCGGGTAACCACAGGCAAACCGAACCCTTAACTCTTAACACGAAAGACATCCAAAACCAGTACCTTTTAGGATTGAGATATGTTGTCGGTAATAAACAGAAGCTCCTTCAAAAGATTTGCACCACTCTTGAAAGTGATAAATACTCCTTAAAGCACTAGCTCAAGATCTGATGTTATATCCCTGCATGCTTCTTGGTTTGCTTGATAAGCTCTTTAGGAACCCCATTGTTTTTCACAAATTAAGTCCTTCCGACAATACTGTACTGTAAATGAATAGCATTTATTTTCTTTAGGGATAATTTCCTGTAAATTCCAGACTATAAAGAGCACCTAAATAAGTCGCACACACTGTTAGAGAGAAAATCAATTTTTTATATATATAGGGTGCACCAGTTTAAAAGCCATGGGTTTACACCTTGTTATATGATATTTTGTACAGAAAGATGTAAACATTCAACTAAATGTGTATGGTAATAAAACCAAAAAAATCATACCGCAGACATTTTTTCTTTTCCCAAACTGTGTCTGAAAAAGGGCTGGTTTTGACTTTGATTAAATATGTACCAATAACTGGCCCTGCAATGGACTAGCGGGCAATCCAGGGTGTACCCCGCCTCTCCACTGGGACCACTGGGATAAGCTCCATTTCCCTCCGCAACCCCATTAGGGAATAGGTGGTTACGATAATGGATGGATGGATGGATGTACCAATAATACTTAACGTAAATGCTTTTTTTCCCTGAACAATGCCTGTAACATGATGGACGGAAAAACATTAAGTATCCTACCATGAAAAGTCATTTCTCCTCATCTTTCTCCTGCACCCTAAAACCACTGAAGTTGACTTATTTTGTGTCTGAATTGAATAGCCTCAAAATAACTTTGTCATTCACTTCCGGCCTTTCTTTAGTTTTTGCACTGATGGGAGTGAGCGATCCTCATCATCAAGCTGCAGTCCAGCCTTTCTCCATTGGTGATGGTGTTTTTTATGGAGGCTAAATGTTTTAGAAGCATGTATAAATATGTATAATGTATATGTGTATCAAAGCTGGGTAGTAGTATTAGCCGCAGTGTTGAAAGTGTGGGGAAAAAGTTGTAGTTCATGTACAGAATTCATGGTAAGCCTTTGCCCATCAGCCAACTGTCAATAAGCATATTTAATGGGCTTTGTTCTATCAACAGTAAGAACTTCACCATCAAACGAAAAACAGGGACACGTCAAAGTATAATGTACCTGGGAATGTCATCAGGATATCGCAGTTTTCAGTGGGAACCATCTTTAACCAGGACTTGCGAGACATGATATAGTGTCGGGCCAGCAGAAGTCGCTTCCCAAACAATTTTTCTAAGAAGGAGAAGAGGGAAAAATACGATGACAAGACTGTGAGACTGAGTCTGATGGTGATAAAGTTTACAGAAAAAAGAGGGCTGTAATCAACTGTGTAGGTGTGTATGTTTGTGAGAAAGAGAGAAACAGACAGATGGCGATCATTTTCTTGTCATGATGATCATGAATACTGATGACTGAATGCTTGTTAGTATCACTCTGCTCATCACTGACGTTATTTTCTTACAACAATCTTGTTCTGATGTTTGCTTTGTTGCTATGACAAAGTGACAACAATTTCCATACTAGTAATTCAACCTCTGTGAAGGTTGACTGTGCTGCAATGGTGATATGACTAAGCAGCAAACAGGTGACCTGAAAACTGAGTGCTGAGTAAATATACAGTTGTCATTAACAAACTACCTTCTCAAGTCTGTGTCAACATACACAATCAAACACGGAACAAAAGCTATGGTGACACATTAAACCCACGTGTGTAAGGCAGTATATGCCATTCTACAGCTGCATTATCAAATCCCATGCTTTTAGCATGTAGTTTCCCTCATACTAAGAGCCATCTGCCCTGCTTCATTTCTGTTCTAACCCTATATCTATAAACCTTTCCCTCCATTCACTACATCCTGAAAAATTAAACTGAATCTTTGTCTGCCTGTTATCATTCAGTGGATGTGATTAGAATCTGTTTATCCAAGGAGATGACACACATACATCCTTCTGCAGGCCTGCAGAGCACTCTTAGTGTTTGACTTTGACATAATGATGTAATTCCTACATGCACCATTTCACAGTCCTTCTTAGTAATAGTCTATTGAGTTTCAGTCATTAATGATATTAACAGTGACAGATCATCCATTACACACGCAGATGTATCAGTCATGCAAACCTCTCTTCCAGGCGATGTCTCCATTAGAACTAGAGAACACTAGGTATGCTTTAATCCTTGCTTCAGTGTTGTAAGGCTTAAGGATATGTCTTCACTTATGCTTTCTATTTTTACCGTTGTCCTAACTCATATAAAACTTTAATATTCAAGTCAACAACACTTTTGCCACTCTGATGGTGCATTATGTTGGATGATTCACAGCACAAGTAGCATGTGGACAGTGACAAACTGTTTATTTATGTGCAGCTCAACTTAAAGAGCTTTTTATTAAGGACGTTTCAAAACACATTTCAAACAGTTGTACTCAGAAACAAGTCAAAATCTAACTGGGTCATGTTACATTTTGAAGTACAACAACATTTTAAAGGCACTGTTCATCCTTTCCACTGATGCAGGAAAATCCAGCAAAGTCAATTGGCCCTTTCATACAAAATGTACAATGTTCTCTTCGGTGGAAAAATAAACCCCTTTTTACAATCAATCTGTGAATCAATTTAATGTAACAAATGGTTAGTGCAGTCAACACTGACAACAATATTTGCAAGGTGACTGAAATGAAGACAGTAGGCTAAGCATAAAGGCCTTCTCACCAAAGTCTTTAACAGACACTGCATTAATAAGGCAAGAGAGCAAATCATTCAAGATGAACACAAGGTTCCCAAAGTGCTACTCAAAAAGATGTTTTCAAAGAATATAAGAGTACAATGAGTCAGAGGAAAAAAGCTCCCTCTAAGACCGAATAAGCCTAAAAAAAACGACAACATGGCACAAGTCATTCACCCCTGTCTTTTTTTTTCTTTCCTCATCCAAGAAGCTGTGATAAACAGACACAACCTTCCTGTTTTACTGTTCAAAGAGCAGCAGAGCCAACCGGGACAGGCACCTTATGTCTCGGACATATACCTGTGGACCAGGGGGGAAAAAACGACAGTTCCCGGGCCTATCTGAATCGGAATGCGCACAGTGTATAGCAAAAGAATGGAGGGCGAACACAAATCAAAATGCGTTCACAGATGACTGACCCCCTAGTCTGCCTTTCTGTCAAGTCTATAGAGCATCCAACAGCAAACTGATGTGTATTGCTCCTGCACAGTGGCCTGTAATTGCCATTATAATTATTGTTTTGTTAAAGAAAACAAACAAATGAAAAAAACATCAGCTTTATCCGATCTTCAGGGGCGCGTAACAGCGTTTTCCTCATTAAAACTCACCGAGCACACCAGACGGCGTGGAGGACGTGTGCTGCTGGTTGTCGGACCTGTCCTGCTGCTCGCTTGGCACCGTCCTCTCCATCCTCTCCCGAGCCCCGTCTCTTCCGTCGACGTCTGCGGAGCCGCTGCCGTCCACGGCAGCATCGGAATCGGCTGCTGCGATGCGCATGGTGCGGCAAGAGGAAAAAGCTCCAGGTGGATGAAAGGGGGGGAGACCTCAGAGTGCGCAGGACTCCGTTGTCAACGCATGGCCGTTGTATGCAAACAGATCATCGCAGTGTGTCTGTGACAGTTCGGTGATGGGAGGGAGGGAGGGAGGGAGGGGGGGGGGGGAAGGAAGAGCATGATCATGGTATCCACACGTTACACGCACCAGTCGTGACTGCGTGACGACAGAGTTTTAGGGGGTGCGCAAACCCCTTAATCGTGTGATTCTTCACTTCACTGAGCGTGATCACTCTGTCGTTTACATATTTCTCTATTTCTCGAAAGAACGCTGGGTGTGCCCTTCCTGGTTACTTAGGGTGGTTGCTTTTGAATTGATTTACTGAGTTGGTGTCGCACACTTTTACGTTGTTGCTGCCAAACTGCAAAAAAAGCAGACACAAATCGAAATATGCCCGACTACACACTGCCAGCTCGCTGGCCCACATAAGCTATCTCGATCCATCCGTTCACTAATTGACATTTGAGATGGTTCATCTTTAGTTCTTGAAATACCTGATTCCGTTACCATATATATATTTATAAAAAAGTTATTGTGCATTTCCATGAAAGTAGTAGTGCAGCCCTTTTACGTGAATCCTTAAGCTCTTAAATTTAGGTAATGAACTACAACACAGTATATGTGAGCATAAAGTCAGACAATGTTACACAAAAACTAAGGAAAGGTACTTGTACATTGCTGGCATTACATAATCGATCTCTCATATTATGGCGTAGGACTTATAAACCTTTGCCTTTGGTTCTGTTCAGTAACGTTTGTGGACATTTGTTTATATGCACAGCTCAGGCCACTGTGTAGCTTTTCCATCAAATTTAGGCCGGAACTTTATGTTCTCATCATGAAATTATCACAATACATCTAAATAGCTTACACCTCGGAATTCAGATATATTATACCCAGTGCATTATTCTCTATTAAATATTACAGACTAATAAAACATAATTGATTACACATACATCTCCCAATGTTTCTGAATAGCAGTTCACCCTAATTGACACTAGGTGGCAGCAATGCACAATTTAACGCTGACAGCAATCTGGTAGGCTTCCTGACTCATTCCATGCTTTAAACGAATATGAAATATTATAATAAAAATGACACATTATTGCATTCTCGTTATATTGTACTTATATTTGTTCTTTGGGTGTATTTTTTAACAAGTTCATATAGATTTTATATCTAAACTTTATATAGCAGTATGGATATAAACTTATTTCCATTCCATTTACTCTGTGGTTCTGTTGAAATCAATAAATTTTTGTCCCTTTCTTCGTGTATTTTAGTTGTTTTTTGGCACTTTTGCATGTTTGTTTCACTTGTTAAGATTAGTATTTTCAGGCTTAGTCGCTTTTTCTGTTTGATTATCAAACAAAACAAAGTTGATTCATCAACTGTTTCCTGTGTATTTATGGTTTGCATGAGGATCCTCATCACCTTATCAACAACTGTGATGTTACTGTGGCACCAAATGCTCTTCTCTCATCTGGAACTCAATGATGTTTCAAAGTATTAACCTTACACTAAAGTTATTTAATCTGTATGGAAAGCTACAAACAAAGTACTCACCACAAATAAGACAGCCTTTTAAATAGACATCATGATAAATTACCCTTATATAATTCCTTCTTGCCAGACGATAGATAGTGTTGATGAAACCGTGTTTTAAGCCACATCGGGAGCCTATAGTTTATTGCACTCAACCTGTTACAGCACACCACCTTAAAGTTTTTAACATCCATCCATCCATTGTCCATAGCGCTTATTCCCAACGGGGTCGCAAGGCAGATTTTAACATGAAACATTTGAAATAGATCTCTTATTGTCAGGGCAAATATCAGTGTAACAACCTCCAATATAAAGAAGGCTTATTGTTTATTTCAGGACTAGAGTTTACAATTCTCTGGAATACTAAAACAAAAAAAAGGGAAGAAAGAACAACATTGATGAGGAACTATGCTACTACATTGGAAAAAAAAGTTAGCTAGCACAATTGGATACAGGGATAGATTTCTTAGTGCAGAATTTGGATTATATTATCTACAGCTTGCATTGTTTCAAATACCAAGACCTTTGTCATCTCTGGTATCAGTCATTTACAAAGGAAGCTTTTGGACTCAGCTGACCTTCTCAAAGAACACTATCAATTTAAAAACTGATCTCAGATTGATTATAAAGGGTTCATGGAGTTTAATTATCATGGCTTTACTTTTTGTTCTACTTTAAGACAAAAATCTCAACATGCCTTCAGTTAATAAAAAAAAAAAACTTTACATATTTACTAATGCCACACAAAGAGTATTAAAGATTACACCAAATAAGTGCTGTGTCTGAAGATTTATGTATTTTTTTTCTGAAGGATTTCACCCTTGATCCCTTGTGCATCCCCTTCCATTGGACCGGGCTGATAGTGTGTAATGGAAAATCATACGCTTAAATAATAGGAGACTGTCACAAACAGGTTTTGGTGTTCATCCCGTCTTACCTCAATAGTCAGAGACATGTAAATGTACATGGATTGTTGTTATTACCAGTAAGATTTATGGAGTGTCTTATAATGATATTGGTCAGCAAAAGGATGAATCTAATATCTTACATACGGTTTCTGAAATGTTTTGCATCCGATACCTTAACATTAACCTAATTTAATGGTAAAAACTTTGCTCGAAATCCCGTTATACACAATCATATATCCCTAACAACAATGGGAAGAAGACTACACAAGACTATTTTCTCTCTGTTTTTTCTTGGATCAGGCTTTCAAAGGGTTAATGTAGTTAATTGAATAGAGAATATGTGAAACAAATAACATTCCAATCAGCCTTTGCTATACTTTTGTGATGCTTGTCAGCTAATGTGCAGGATTTATTTACATCCAGCTAGACTGTAATCTACTGAATGCCACTCTGTTCTTTTACAAATTTACTGTGCACAACAAATGTACAGGAGTAGACCATCACTCATGTAAGGTTTATGCCACAGTTGCCCTAAATTTACAGAATCGGTCATTACAAAAATAATTATATAATGTATCTTTAAGGGTTAATACCCTGGAATATTCTTCAGATGAACATTTTTAAATTTCAAATAAATAGTTGTAGTTATCACTGATACATTTTTCTGTTTTGCAAGACAATAAACAACAACAAATAGCAAAGATTGATTGTTTCTTGAATATTATTACCAAATTCTATTTAATTACTTGTGATCCAGAACAGAAAAGAATCATGAAGTGATATAATGGGATTCTCGCTTCTCATAAAAGTCGGGTCGGTTGGCTGAAATTTGAGAATAAAACAGGGAATTTTATTTCAAAATGATCAAAAATCAAGATCTCACTGCAAATAACTCTGAATCAAAGCACTTCATGATGCTTTTCTGAAACCAAAGGTAAAAACATGAAGGGTTCTTAGTGTTGTCCCATATGAGTTAGAGTCTCTTGCAAAAATAAACAGTCAGGAAAGAGGCACAAAAAAAGATCAACCAAAATAGTTGAGAGACGCCTCAAGATTTATGTCAAGAAGTTTCAGAAACAGAGGGAAAAAGACCACTGGTGATTTTCTGGCACAGAAGAATGCTTTTAGATCAGAGTTGAGAAATCCCCCACATGAGCATAGACAGAAAACTGATGGAAGAAGGCTTAAATTAGCCAATTTAAAGTCCATGTAGGAGTTTGGTGAATCAAACACTGTTCACACAAAAGTTTAATCTAAAGCAAGTCATTCATATCAAGGAAATAGAAGAAATGCTCCACTGCTAATTGAAGTTCAGCTGAAAATTCAGGACTAAGAGCTGAATAAATACTTTCACACGGTATTCAAGAGTCAGATGTTCTGCAAGTATTAGTGGGCTTTTGACTATTCCAAAAAGGGCATCATGCTGGGTGCTTTCTCAATCCCATACCTCAGCCTGAGCACATGATAGACATATAGATAGCTTCACTGCACGCCCACACTAAAGTGCTGGAGAGGTTGTTACAGCTAGTCATGACATACACAAAAAATCTTGTAATCTATCAAATATTTTTTAGATAATACAATCACAGTAAAAAAAATACATGTGCATTATCTTATTTGAATCCCAGTGGCACTGCAGTAAAACCAAGACCAATCTTAATGCATTTCTTAAAACATTGTTTTGCATCATTTGATTGGTTAAAGAAAATTGGTCTGAAGACAAATGATGTCTTATGTCTTATGTAAAGTCAGACCAATTTACTTTAACCAATCAATTGACTTTAACCAATCAAAACAATGCACATATTTCTTGTACAAAACAACTCTCAAAGAGGTCAAGGTAAAAGTCTGGGTTTGCACTGAAGCACCCCATGTGGTTTCAATGACTTACTTCCACCTCATCCCCTTTGGTTGACCAAACAAAAGAAAAAAATCGGTGAACGTTATGTCCTATGTTATCTTTATCAGGCTGGGCACCACCATGATGTTAAGGGAAGCAAGCAGATAGGAAATGTAATTAGAGGTCACAGTCAAGTGGGAACACTAGCAGCCGCCCACAAAAGAGACGACGGTCCTGCAACCCCAGATTAGGAAGGAGGTCGTAATCATAACCACCCGTTCAATTTCCTGCCTAAGGAAAAGAAGGGAAGTGACCACTATACTCACAGTTTGCACAATGGTCCTAAATCTTCATCACTGGTGGTAACAATGTAGAGGAGCAACATTGTCAAGTACTCATTGGCTGATGAATACAGTGTTTGCATCAAATCAAAAGCACATTTAACAGTGTCTTGCATTAGCAAAAAATAAACAAAAATAAGAGCAATCCAGAATCCAGTTTTCTGGATTTAAATCACAATGACACGATTATATTATATTGTTACATGTTACATGTTTCATGTTTTGAAAAATAAAGGACATTCAATTTCCTGTCTTTTTCAATTCTTCTGTTCAAACATTTAATCTTATGTAGTCCACTGTGTCTGTTTGTGTTGTGGTTTGTGGAAAAATTTGTGTGTTGTGTACAGACATGCCATTAGTGGACAGAAAAATGCAACGAGCTTGTAGGAAACATTTTTCAGAGATCTGCATCTTTGGGATGATTTTCCAAATAAATAGTTTTAATGCATCCATTGTCTCAGTCAGTAGAATAAAGTGAGACCCTGAAGCATCCAACCAGTTGACCTTTAATATCCTCACAGCGACTCCAGCAGTAAGCTGCACATCCCAAATGTGGAAAAATACTTGGTGTTAAACAAAGGATATCCTTCAGGCTGGAGAAAACTGTCCCATCACAGGAGTACAGCGGGTACTGGCACCAATACAAATGCACTTTGGGTTCTTGCACTTTCCATCCACTCTCAGTACATTGAACAGGATGCTTGTCCTTATGATGGCCAAACTTTACTTTGGCCCATTTTTTGGCCCATCAAGTGTATCACTAATAAATATGTCAACATTAAACAAGTTTAACACTTATGCCTAATGGCTGTCCCAGATTTATCTTAAATATATTTAAACATTGGAATATGTATGTCCAAACATTATCAGACTGCCTTGTTGATCTTTTCTCCATATAATTATTCTATTTGTTTGTTTGAAAAATCAAGTCAAACATTCTACTGAAAATAATCACTGTTTTTTTCTACATGGCTGATGGGAATTACCAGAACTCGTATCTCCTGAACTTCTCACTTAGAGTGTACTTTATCATAGATTATTTTAAATATATGATTTAGACTGTTAACATCTATGTTCTCACAGTGAGGATCTTTGAATTCTCTCAGTGAAGACATGTATTCAACATGTTTTTCAAAGGTTTCCTCCATCTGTCTCTGACAGGTTGGCAGGTAAACATAAACATTATAGAAGAATTAAAAAGAGTTGCCAGTAAAATATTGCAGATGGGGCTGGGGGTCATTTGAAGACAATTGACAACACAATAGATGACGCACACAGGCACAAACAGTTATTTCCAGGACTGAGAGGGGTAACATTTTAAATAGCCTTGTTTATAAAGTACAAGGAGAGACAGGTACAATAGATGTGCTTACACTGAAACAATGCCTTTATTTTTTATGTATTGACAGAGTAAAAATACAGTACTACATTATTTCTCCATACTTGCTTGTTGCATTCTGTGTGATTACATGGTAAAACACAAACACATCACATTCTTAATTCAAAAGTGCAAAAACTGTTACTTACACTCGTGGATACTGAGGAATAAACCATTGGAATTACATTATACAGTCATTGTAGAAAATATATCAACTTGTTATGAGAAAGTTAGATTCAGTTCTTTCTTGTATATGAATAACATTACATAGGTTGTGGTTGGATATTTTTAAAAGAATTCTCCATTTTTGGGCTAACCCAGCATTCTGGAAAGATCTTGTTTCTCCCTGAGGAAAAATTAGAATACAGAAAGAGAGAGACAAAAGAAAATATCAATTACTATACTGTAGAAAGCTGTATGTTTGGTACTTAGCAATGCAAGTATGGGTGACGAAATCAAAGTTCTTAGTGACGGACAAGATCTTTCTTATTTTGTTGTGGGTCTTTGTTAATTATAACATTAATGACAGACTACCCCAGTAAGCTAACTAACTAAACTAACAGTTCAAAGTTAGTTTAGTTAGTTAGTTAGTTAGTTAGTTAGTTAGTTAGGTAGTTAGTTAGTTAGTTAGTTAGTTAGTTAGTTAGTTAGTTAGTTAG